CCCCCCCCCGGATAATGTTTCTTCGAAAGGTTTCGGAGGAAGTATAGGAGTGTGGTCGACACGATCGGAAGCGTCGATGGTAAAGGGGGTAAAACACCGCATGACGGATAGACGGACAGACAGACAGGCAGCCAGATGAACAAGGGCAAGAGAGAAAACACCGATGAGATAGACGCGGAGATTGTTATGGCGATGATGGTTCTTCACGTATTTTTTTTTCTTTTGGGATTCGATAGGGTCGGGGGGTATCGCTGCGCTCTATGACGGAGCGCAGACCCTGAGTCCTACTCCCGTCGCGCTTGCCGGTTCTTCCCGTCTATACTATATACGCAAGAACCTTCAACAGCAGACACCGGATCGTTTCAAAACCTTTGCAGCAACACTCCGACTAACCTTGTATGTTTGGTTTTCCATTATCCTCCTGCCAAAACCTACAGGGCCTTGCGGAGATACTCGCGGCGCCATCGACGACGGCGCAGCTGAGGGGCTACGGCTGGGCCAGGGAGACTCGCCTCGCCCTGGAGCTCTTGTCGGAGACCCTCCTTGGCTGGATGGACGAGCACCAGGCCAAGCGCTACTCCGGGGTCGGAGATACCGAGAACGGGGACGATGAGAACGATGACCCCGGGGGTTACTCTTCCATGAGTGAGGCTTTGTCCGTGTAGGGTAGTGCAGGGCGGGGCGCCGCGGCGGTGTCTTTGTTTTTCTCGTCATTTTCGAGCTGCCTCACTCGTTGAGGAAGATGCAGTAGTACTCTCTAATACTGGTGTTGCTTCGAAAGTATTAGAAACGCCACGCTGTGGTCGTGGCTAGTCGTCGGCGCAGGACAAATCGATGGACTCAGACCGTGTGGTGGAACGAATGACGTTCCAGTGTTTTTCAATAACCCTCCTCGCGCAACACGCAAACTACGTCTGGATGATTACTGCGATTGGCTTCGGACGGACGTCCCCCATCTTTGTGTTGTGGCCTGCCGCGGTACACTCTGATTCGGGAACCCGAGCTTGACGCAAGCGTGCTAACGGCAGCACGGGTGGTCGGGAGTTGTAGCAGTGGCAGAGGCATCACCCACTACCGACGAGGAACAGGTTAGGTGCGTAGCTACGGCTTGTCCACGTCGCGGACGTTCGTTCGTGACCAGATGCGCGCTGAGCGACGTTTGTACAAGCGTCTTCGGGTTGAGAGCCACGGAATTCGCCGTCGTGCCCGCAGTGGAAAGAATCACTTGAAACGAGAAGAGCAACCGTACATACCCTCGAGAAATCATGCCCCGTCATGACATGATGACGAAGTTTGCTGGCCCCATGGCGTCGACCCCTTACACTCGGCGCTTTTTGTGGCGACACCGACCCCCCCAGGCTTCGGAAACAGCAAGAAAAAGAAAAAGAAGAAAGCGAAGGCCAAGGGCGTTGGCGCGGGCGCTAGCGCTGGGAGTTCGACCGGGAAAGGAGGCGTCGGGGAGGAGGAGGGAGGGGACGCTTGGAGGGCGGAGGCGGAGGCTACGGTGTTATGGTGGTGGGAGACGGACGAGGAAGCGAGGGTTCCTTGGGCCGTGGCGAGGCTTCTCGGCCTGTTGCTCAGGTAGGGGAGATCCTACCGGATTGTAACTGGGCACGAGTCTGGTCCTTTCGATTCTTTTGCGGCTTTGATACCGCATGGCGAATCATTCTCGCGGTTGTGGTTGCTGTTGTTGCTATTGCTTTTGCTTTTTCTGTTGCTGTTGTTGTTGTTGTTGTGTTTTCATTTTTTTGGAATCCGCTCCACCAACCCGACCCCCCACCAGGCGGCTGGACCAGCTCCAGCGCACCCAAGCCGTGCTCCACCCCATCCTCGTACGCTCCCTGGGGGGACCCGCGCGCCTGCGGCGCTTCCCCCTGGCCTTCCTCGAAGCCTTCCCGGGTCTCCTCCTTCGCTCACCGCTCACCGCCGCCGGAGCCCTCGCGAACGGTCGGCACCGCGAAGGACAGGAAGAGGATGGGGCCAAGGTTGACCAGGGTGATGGTGTCTTGGCTCCCGGGCTGTGGCGGCGGGCTGTGGCGGCGGTTTTGTTCCCGCCGGCAGCGGGGGGCGGTGCCAATAGCGGCTGTGGTACGGGTGTTGTTGTTGGTGGCGGCGGTGGAGGTGGAGATGGGGCCGCGGTTGTCTCTGCGAGATTGAAGCTGATGTGGTTCGGTGATGTTCGGCAGGGGCAGCAGCGTGAAGGTTCGTTGAAGGGAAGGGGCGAATACACGCAGATAACCAAGAAAATACGGAAGGCACTTTGGCTGCACTTGCCTATTTTTGCCGTCGCGTGTGATTGCCCGCGTTTGCGTGTGACTGCAACACCGTGACAACGGTAGCAAACCTTTTTTCCCCGCGAAGGGACCGGTGCCAGGAGTGTCCCCCACTTGAAGCAGCAGAAGCCACCAAGAAAATGTCCGTGCTCACAAGTAACAAAGCCACTTTGACCTTCTAGGTTTTGTCTATTTGTTTGTCCCCCCAATTTTTTTCCCCCTGCAATGCGTAAATATATTGCGCTCGTTTCTTCTCGAGCCCGTGCCCAGGCGAGGCCGTCATTTTTTGCTCTTGTGGCAACGCTGGGTAGAGATCGCAATCAATCACCACGGGGCCGTTTCCCTGTAGCGGGGACGGCCGACAACCACCACAAGAAGTGACAACCGACAATGAACGACCACCAACATCCCATGAAAAAAACGTTGCAGGCGGAGGGCCGGAGGAGGAGACGGCCGACGACCTGGCCGACAAGATCCTGCAAGCCATCGGCTCTCTTCACAGCAGCCCCCGGGCGGCTGCGAAGGCCGGAGAGGAGGGGGGGTGTGCGTTGTGCCGGAGGGGCGGCGGAGGGGATTGCAGCGGTGGCGCTTGTGGGGGCGACGATGCGCTCGCGATGTCTTCGGGACTTGTCCTTGTGGCAAGGGGCGCGACGGAGGAACTTCGGGGTGGTGAGCGAGAGAGCGGCTGTTTGCCGAGGTGGTGTTTTTGTCTCCTTGGTTAATTTTCTCTTGGGGGGGGAAGTTGTGGACACGGTCGTACCGCCGCGTATGAGGCGTATGAACCCGGGGTTCCGTACCTTTGTGGATAGGCGGCTTCCCTGCTTGGAGAAAGAAAAGGAATTGCCGGCGGGCGAAGAAAAACAACGGGTCGGCCAACATCGGTTGGTCCATTCAGCACGAGGATCAGCAGCAGGCTAGGCTTAGCTGGGAGAGACTGGCACAAGCAAATGGCGCACGTTTTGCACGTTTCAGCTTAACTCCCCAGCAGTAGGCAATTTCAGACGCCCGGCTCTGTGTGCCATACGCCCCCTCCACCCCCCCCGGACCTACCGCACCCCCTTTCATCCCCCAATCTTGCGCTCTGGCGGCTTCCTTCCCAATCGACCGCTATTTTCCAGAGCTTGCCGTTCCAAGGGGGCGAGGGGAGTTGATCGCGGTGGAGGCGGTGAGGGCGCTCGGGCTGCTGGGGGTCGGGATGGAGAGCGGCGGGTTTCCGGTCTTGTGAGTTTTTTCTTTTTGCGGCAGGTGCTGGGCGGTATGGGTGTGTGTTGCTTGGAAGATTAGCTGGGATCAAGAGGCTAGTCCATGGCGGGGGGGAGGGGGGTTAACTCATAGTCGTGCATGCCGTAGTCGTTAGACCGTTGACCTTGCATCCCTACAGAGCCGGGACGGAGCACGCCGGGTTCTCACCGGACCAGGCTCTCACATCACCAAGCGCGAAGCGCCGTGAGATATTCGGCGAGTCGCATGAAGGGTGCGCTGCATCCTGCTAAGGGTGTTCGGCATCTTGTGCTTACTTCCTTGCATACGTATGACAGCTGCGTATGGCNTTGCGCGGAGTGAGGATTGTCCACCCCGCACAACATGATCTACTCGACCATCGTTACGGTTACCGCCAAAAAGAAAATAGAGGTGAAAAATAAACGGTGACTTGGTTGCCGAGTTGAATTGAATTGGCTTGTTTTTCAACGTCGTTGCCAAGCGACGAAAACCC